TTTCTCTAAAATGTGGAACACCTTTTATACAAACTCAATATGTTCTTCCCTTGATTGGTTGTAGATGAGAATGTCTTCGAGGTAGATGATGATAAAGTCATTGATGTGTGGACGTAACACGTTGTCCATCAACCGCATGAACATGGTAGGGGCGTTGCAAAGTCCAATTGGGATGACCAGGCACTTGAATAGCCCTTGACGCATCTTGAAGGCTATCTTCCACATGTCTTCTTCTCGGACTCAAGACTTAATGATAGCTTGACTTGAGATCCGGTTCAGTGAAGATGGTGGCATGTTCTTGTAACTTACCATCATCCTCTTTCTTGCATGTAGCTGATAAGGCTAAGGCTCACATTCTCGCTTCGACCGGTTGAATGAGTATTAACACGAAACGAATCTTTAGCATGTGTTCACCATCCATTTTGCTTGGTCGGTTGTCATGAGATCAATTGCACATACGCTCTTTTTCTCACATATGAGGAACCTATTGCCGTCCTTTAGGAACTCGTATCGCTGGGGTCAGCAGTAGTAGACAACAACTCGGTTCCAAAGGTACATACTTTCGAAGATTACCAAGCATATGTCTTGGGGCACTACTTCTCACAATATGTATTTGTTGGTGATGGTGAAGCAAAATTTTCACTGCTGATTTATCCTTAACCACACATCCTTTTGGATCCAACCCAATGGATATTTGTTCAGATGAGGTGTGGTTTGTAGGCCAAGTTTCTGGACTGAGCTTGTCGAGATGAGATTCTTTTAACTATTGATGTTGATGACTTCTTGCTTCACTTGAATTTTTGGCATAAAGAGCTCTTTTACAACCTCTGGGCCAATGGATGAAAGTGATAGACTGGGATCCGTACAATCAATCAATGCAAGTTCAATAGGATCGTTATCGATTGGGATCTAGCACTTCTCTATTATATGTCCAACAATTTTACAGTGATCATAGAAGAGGTCACTTTTATTCGAAGAAGAAGGATTCTTACTAGAATTTTTCTTGGCCTTTGAGTAGCCCTTTTTGTCCTCAGCAGTCCTCTTGTTGTGGATTCTATTCTTCCTTCTAAATGTCATGGATGTTTCGTTGGCACTCAAGATGTTGTGAGCCTTGAAGAGGCTCAATTCGGTATTATCCAGGCATGCAAACCAGCGATAAACTTCATCATCTTTGAGTGGTTATCGAGGGAGTTTCCGAGTGCCATGGCTTGTCATGGAAACTCGGTGTCGTCTTACACCAATTGGTCTCGTTCTTTGCACAAGCTATGTCATGCCATCTTTTTCATTGATCTTTAAGGTAGCCTTTTGGGTATAACTCTTGTTAGATAAGTCTTTTAAATTGCCCCATGTCATCTCAACATCGTTGTAGGCTCGTAGGCAGTCGATCCACCATTCTAAAGCATGGCTTGTTAACTTGAGTCACGTAAGCTCCATTATCCTCGCTGTGATGCTCGTATAGGGTAAAGTAGACGTCAAGTTGATTGAGCCCCACGTCTAACATCTATGCGTTGATGGAGTCTTGACATCCCAGCCTTGGCTTGGAAAGGTCTGAATCTTGCCTTTGCCACCGGTTCCATGGTGGCATCACAATCATAGTGTCTTTTGATGAACAGTTTTGGTTTTCAACGAAGATGACTCCTTTGCTATGACACGCTTATCTCTAGCTTCTTTTGTTGTCGTGTTGGCTTAGGGTTGGATCCAACTCATCTCGTCCTCCATCTTTTACGTGATGCGACTTAGGCAAAAAGATCTAGTGATGCTGCTGGATTACTTTTTGTCATCGCTTCGTCATCTCTTTTCATCGACAATCAATGTTAAATCTCTAATTCCTGAAGTTCTTCACTTGAAATTTTATATCTTTGTGTGGTGGTAACCATCCACAGGCGTGAGGGTCATCACTCTGGTACCACTTGATCCGTTTGGGAAAGGATTTGTTGATAGAATCCTTCCGAGCGGATTTACGCTTTGTGAGAGTATTGATAGAGATGCGCATTGATAGGGACACTGGAAAAAGAGAAATCTAAAAAAGAAAAAGGATCTAGATTGTTTTTGAGAAAGGAATACCTAATCATGCAATTGTAAAGAGATTTTTTAAGCAACAAGCTTGGACTTCCTGAGCAATAGCTCCAACTTCTTGAGCATGCAAGCTCGGCTTAGGCTTCTCTTTTGTTGTCACCTTGCTCTCTTTTCCCTCCCCTAGGGCTGCGACCCCCCTTTTACTTATATTTGTAGCACGAAAGACTCTTAACCTATCTACAGAAGTACTCTCAATTGGAGTCCAACTCTTATTCCCACATAGGGGACTCCTAGTACAAATCTTAGTTTGAGTCCAACTCAATCTGAGTTCAGGCTTGAGTCTTTGGGCTGGCTGAACTTGGGCTTGAGCTAGGTTGATCAGTCCTGATCATTTACCAGAACTTCTTATTGTAATTTTAATTGATAAAGATGGTGAGGATAATGAAAGGATGCATGTTTTGTATGACGAATGCATTCTTCTTTTGCATTCAATTGAATTACGAACAAGCCCTTGTGATTATACTACTTTGACACAAGTTCTATTTCTTTGCTCTGGATGATCAAAAGATTTTACTAGTTGGCATCACAAAACTATAGCCTTGAGTGAAGTTTGTTTTCTCACATTATAGTGCTGATGAATTGTGAACCTCTCATCATTATATTTTACGTTGAGAACTCAGTTGATTGCTCTGTCATTGGAAACACCTGCAGCGGTTAATTTTAGAGCTGTAGTATCTCATTAAACAATGACGAATAAGGAATATTCGTTGTGAAGAAGATAATTTTATATGTAAAGCAAATATTTATTTGCTCATAGGAATAAGAAGAGGACCATACAGATTGGAGCAGTCATGCAAGCTATGTTTTTAAGAATAGAGTTCATAAGCAATAGTGGAAATACAAAAGTGACTGAAAAATAACTTTGCCTAGAGAATTTATTGATCCATGACTAATGGTTACTGAAACTAGAACTGCATAATCTTAAGAATGTGATGATTCTTTTATTTTCTTTTGTAATATAAAATGGCACAAGCAAGGGATAATCCCAGGCTTAACTAGAAGAGATTTCCTAGGCAAGTTGAGTATAATATGCCTAAATGAGGTTGTGAATACTGTGAAGATACTGGAACAAGTATGCACAAAGTGACACAAATTGTGTTAAAGTTGTCACTTGGAAAGTTAACATAAAGTATCTGGTTCAGGTCTTTTTCTGTTGGCATTATGACTGTATAGAACTTTAATGGGAATTTAATATGGTGACTGATGATATGTACTGGATAATTCTTTTTGTGTTGGGGAATTTATGATACCACGTGCAACTATTTTTCTTCAGATTAAGTGGTGATGAAAAATTCATATATGAATGGGTTTCCACTATAGTTTATCATGGTTTTGGTTTGTGTGCAAATTTATTAGGCTGCATAAGATTGACTTAGCCTCTTAACAAAAGTGAAAAATTGTATCAAACTGAACATACTTAGAGACCACAATAATCTAATACAATTATAGTGTAGATTGTTTAATGGTATACTTTGCACTTACAATAACTACTTTAAGCTTGTTTATGCAATATTGTACCGTACCGGTGTTTCGAGGTTGGCTTGGTATGGTACGGTACCGTGTACTGAGCGGTATGCCAGGACGTACTGAGCGGTATACCTAATTTAGGTGTAAAACCCTCCAAAAATACCTGAAAATAAAAAGAAAGTTAGGATAGAGTTTTTAAGTTAGAAATAAATATAGTAATAGTATAAATTTAGCAAAATCAATGTAAATTAGGTAAGAATAGTATCACATATCTTTTTCGGGTTTTAAAGAATATCTTGTACAAGGTTCGTATTTCAGTCCATTACGAATTGTCCTTATGTAAACATACCTCTTGATTAGAAAGTTTTTCCTCTTAATATTTCAAAATTAACCTCGATTCAATTCACAAATCGTTGTTTTGTAGAGTTTAGGAGAACACAAATGTGAGAAAAAAAGAGTTTGAGATAGTTTAAGAGAGTATTAAATTGTAATGGAGTGAAATAGGAGAGAAGAAGGGGTTTAAATACTATGAGAAAGGGTTCCAACGGTCAATTTGACTGTTGGAGCACTGTATCACTGTTACCGAACGATTTTAAATATTTCTTCCTCTTACTGTAACACTATAGCGCTGCTATAGTGTAACACTGTAGTACTGTAGCACGTTCCGTCCGGTAGCGGGCGGTCCGCGTACCGGTATGCTGTTGGACCGGTATGTACCGCCCGTACCGGACAGTACCATTCGAAATTGCATACCATGCTTTTACCATTGTGTTGCATGTGAAATTCTCTCTAGGAAAAATGCAAATGGATGAAACAAACACAACTTGAATACGAATCTAGGAAGCAGAAAGCCATATTTAGCAAGAGATAAAAACCATCAAGAGAAGTTATAAGCAAGAGATAAAAACCAACAAGAGAATTTATAAAACATGAGTGTAATGGACCTACTCACCAAAAATTTCTGAGGGTTCCTCATGTAACAAGAGGATGTCAATCCGCTCAGCTGGTGAAGACTTTGACAATTGATAGCAAGGTCCTGCATGGTCGAATACTGTCTTATCACTTACCCTTTGCAAAAAAAAGAAAAAGAAACATGAGTGCATGAACACAAGGGTGTAACAAAGTGTTGGTGCAAATATGCTATATATATGTTCTTTGTGACCTTTTTCTTCTTTGCATATATCTAGCAGCCATTTATAGTAAATCAAGATTTCTTCATAAAATGACAACAAGCAGCTTCAGTATTTAGCAAACTTGTATGTAGTATGTGCGAGTGGCCATAGTTTAATTTGTTTTAGTCTTGGTTATGATGGTTATCTTCTAAACTGAGCTCTTCTTTAGAGTTGCTCATTTTGTGCATTTTTTATTATTGAAATTTCTATAATTGCTTGCTTTTGGAGTATGTCTTTCTGCAGGAGCTGGAACTAGCTTGTAAATTATTTATCACTCTTTTGCAGAACGTTGGTTATGAAGGAGCATTTAAGCCATGGGTACCTGCATTACCTGACCATATAGATATTGAATGTGATGATACAACAATTCTTTCAGTTCAAAATGATATGTCAGAGGGAGAAGAAAAGAAAGGAAGTGAAGGGAAGGAAGTTCAAGAAGAGAAGGAAGGGGAGAATAATATGAATATCGTACATGAGGGAGAAGAAAAGGAATGGGAGGAAGTCAAAGAATTAAAGGTGGCTGAAATCAAACTTTGTGGAAAAGAAAGTGATGTATGTCCTGGTGAGATGGAGATAAAATCATATCATGGTTCTCTTCAGTCTTCTACTTCATTGGTGAGTGCCCTTGTCTAAGCTGACTAATACTATTATTTATTCAGTACCCTCCTTTTTCGCTTTAGAACAAGCCATATGACAATTTCATATCTGAATGGGTTTTTATTTTGGTTTATTATGATTCTGGATTATGTATCTTTAAATCTAACTTTGCTCTTAGCCTTTTAGCAGAAATAATAAATAATATTTACTGGATCATGGTCTAGAGAGCTGTAACAATCTAACACTGATGGATTTTGTTATTCAAATGATATAATTTGTGGATACAATAACTATGTTATGCTTATTTTTGGCCATTTTCTAAATATTGTATATGAACTTCTCTACCAGGGAAGTTACCTGGGACACCACCCTTAGATTAGGGGGTGTACCAAGTGCACGAGGCTCCTGCCAATGCGGGGTTTGGTGAGGGTCAATGTACGTAGGTTCACCTATAAATATTTAAGGAGGCTGTTTCTGTGACTCATACCTTGGCCTCTCAGGTCATACAAGAGCAACCTTACTGTTGTACCGAGGCTCGCCCTCACCACCTGTAGATTAAATGAATATAAATATCTAAAACACAGTTGTGCATTGTCTATGGTACTCTGCAAATGAAAAAAATTGGCACATTGAAATACATTGCAAGAAGATGTGTTTAGCAAGAGATGAAAATCTGACAAGAAAATGAAGCATGAGTGCATATACGTAAAGGGTGTGTAATAAGTGTTTGGAGAAAATATGTTATATCTTGTCTTATGTGTGACCTTTTTCCTCTTTGCATTATCCTAGTGGCCATTACTACAGCAACATTTTTTTGTAAAATGACAACAAGCACTTCCAATAGAGTAAAATTTTAGGTTTGATTAATATGTATTCATTCTGTGGAACTGACATAAGTGTAACAAATTTAGCCTAGGTAATGTTGGTTATCATCCTCTAGTTCTTCCTTGAGTTGCCGTTATTTGCTATGTCATGTTTTTACTTTTCTTGCAAAATTTTTTATTGACTCCATCATATTGCTCTTTTTGGAACATGTCTTTGAGCAGGCAGGAGCTGCAACTAGCTTGTAAAGCAATGCTGAACGAACTTTTTCAGAACCTTGATTTCAAGAAATCATTAATGTTGTGGGTACCTGTGATACTTGAATCGAGCTATGCCACTATACTATAGGAGTGAATAATTCCAACATGTTTTTACTTCAAATCAATGTGTCATAGGAAGAAGGGAAAGAAAGGAAAAAGTTCAAGAAGAAGAGGAATGGGATACTAATGTGATTATTTTATGGCATGGAAGAAAAGGGGAAGAATTTTAAAAAGAAGTTTTGGTTACTTAAATTGAACAATCAGGAAAAGTAAGTGATGTATGTTCTAGTGAGATGGAGATAAAACCATATGGTGGTTCTCTTAAACCTTCTATTATTTTTGCCAAGTGGGTTCTAGGCTGACTAGGTTGCCAAGTGCGCTGGGCTCCCACCAATGCTGGGGGAGAATCACTATGTGCAATTACCCTTAGAAGCAAGAAGACTCTTTTCATTCAAATACCTTATGTAGCAACATAATGAATACGACATTACCTGGTATGTAAAGGTGACGAGCTACTAAAAACACACTTCAATCAAAATAAACAAAGCAAGAAGAAACTACATAAAACTCTTGATCAAACCTTAGTAAAGAGAGAAATTCGAGGTTTCTAAGATCACTTCTAATAACATTTTCCTCAACAGCAACACTAGAAGAAAATTTGCCCCTCACAGTCTCTTTGGTTCTATTAATGAATGCTTCCTCGGATAAAGTGGCAATTTATATATCCTGTTATTCCTTTCTAACCATTAAGGATCAACAGTGGCAGCTAATGGACACCTTTGGATACTAATTGCCAAAAAATGAGCAGTGCAATTATTAGCAAATTCTCTTAGCCTTTGTTCTAATGACAGCTCGTCTTAAGATGTGTCAGAAGCTCAGAGGTCTTCATGTGCTACCATTCACAGGTGACAAGACAACTGAAAAAAGATGTGAATTACACTCATTATTTCACTGCCAAAAAATACATGAACAACTCTTGAGTATCCCTTTGTTAATTAAATTGTCTCCCATCTTTAATTAGATTGTCTTGTGTTTGCAATCTGCCCTTCATGGAAGCCATAAAGTGAAACCCTGACATTTATATCATCATGTATATTGTTTTCATTTAAAATACCTTATTTCATTAATGCTGATATTTTATCTTTTGGTTTGGCCATACATGTTAGGGACTGCAAGCATCTGAAGATGTGGGTTATTCTGTTGAAACACTGCAGCATACATTAACATCTTCATTCCAGAGTAGGCTAACGAGTGTCCTTGAAATGCCATTTGACCAAGTTGAATATGAACGGTTGATGTCTTTGATAAGTCTATATATGCCAGAAATGAAGGACTTAGGTGATGAATCCAGACCTTACACAACAAACCAATTGGGTTATTCATCTCCTGATCACTACCCTGGTATGTGTTGATTCACATAATGTTATCTCATGTAGATAAGTGACATGAGGATTTGAATTTAAATGTTCTTTGATGACTAATTGCTGAGTGAAGTGGTCTAAAATTGGACATTTGCTATCTACATATTATATAGGGCTGATCTTACTGCCTTACTGTAATGCTTATACACATAATCTCATGTATGTAGACTTATCAGAGACATTTATAATTTTACTAGATTCTATTGCCAATATGTCAAGGGTTCAGTGTTCTCCGATGTGCTATTTGTGTGTAGCCTACTATTTTGAAGAGAGAGAGAGAGAGAGAGAATAAACAAGCTCCTTTTTGCATCTAATTATGTAGTTGTCCTTAGACTACTCACATGCTGCAGGAAATTTGATATGAGCTATTTAATGGTGAGCCATGATGTTGTTCTGCTGGGATGTTGGTGCCAGGGCTTTGATTGAAAGAACAGAATATCTCTACATGTAAGAGAAGACTGAACAGACATGACCCACCCCAAACTGCACATTGACATGATTCTTGTGCATTGTTTCACCAATTTTGATATGAGGAATTTGTTCGATTATTGTATGAAAGAACTAATTAATTGACTACTTTGTTTATAATATTGAATTCCACATAATAATTTTTTATTACATTTGACTGTAGGAAGAGTTCTTGACGTTCAAGTTATATGACATTTTATCCCCCCTTTTGTGATTTGGAAATTATTTAATCAATTATTTTGCACACCTAAGCAATGAATCCTTTTTTTAGGATGAATATCTTCATCTTGATCTCATCTTTCAATCAGAACTTGACTAGTCCAAATTAACTTGTTGAGTGCATCTAACTCTATACCTTTTCAGGGAAGGACCTATAAGCATCCGCCATCAAGTCCTTTTGAAAATGCTTTGCTTGTAACATGATTTGGAATATATTATGCATAGAGCAAAAAATTGGAGCTTATGCCACAGCCTTCACACAATTCACATGTAGCACAAATCATGCTGTAAAGAGAATTCTTCTGTGGAAGAATTCAAACTAATCCAATGGATAGCTCAGGCTTTGACATACATTTGTTCCATTTAAATCCATAGTGTACCTGTATTTCAAGTTAGCTTCTTAACTTTGAAAAGCATCGTTGCCTACAACACATGAAGAATTGTATATAGGAAAAAGATGTATACATAACTATATAGGACAAGAGCTTATGTTGTCCATTCCTTTTAGATACCTATTTATCTTTTTTCAATGGTAGCTGCATGTATTTTGACTTCTGATTACCTATGTGGTACTTTTCTATTACTTTCTTCTTTAACTTAATGGAATGGTGATACACTTGCTCAATCTCTGCATCTGTTCATGACTATATTCCAACTATATTGCTAGATGTACTGTAAGTTGATCAAATGCTCTCAGGAAAACTCTATCCGTCTAACAATGCACCTAACAATTCCCACTTGAATATACTTATGCATGATGATGTGATATGTGACATGCATACATTTTGATTGATTATGAACTTCAGTTCAAGATATAGAAATCTAAACTATTCTATACAAGCTAGTTTTATGTCTCGCTTGTAATTTCAGATTGTGCTGTTGTAAGATTTGTCATACAATTGTTGTGTGAATAGATAATCTCTTATCATTGTTTCTGCAATTTAGATCTTGTGAGTCAGATCAAGTCTGCTGATCCCAACAGGAGTTTGCTTCTCTTGCGTGGTTTCTTCTTCTGGTTACAGGTAATGTGTTGCTTTTTTGCTATTCCTCACCCCTTTTATAAGTTATTATTGGGACTACATTGTCTGGCCATCAATATTTGTACGGCTAGGGTTAGCTGACATTTCTGATATCCTTAGGTATGATATCAGATAAAAGATCTAGAAACATTTCAAGATTAACTTGTTAACCTTGTTGACTGCTAAAACATCTTTTTTTTCCTTATAAGATAATGTAGATAGTAAAAGATGAATGTTATATTTGACGAACACATTCTTATTTTGCATGCAATAGAACTATGGAGGCGTCCTTCTTGCTATTCTATTACTCTATATGGAATACTGTTAGTTGTGCTCGGGATAATTAAGATAATACTGATAAGCATCACAAAGTATGGCCTCAATTTGAATGAAGTTTGCTTTGTCATGTGTGGCACCAATGCATAATTTCATCAATTTTTCATTACTTTTGGGTTGGAAAATGGAAACCTGTTGATTGCTATGTCTTCTCTCATGTAAAACCTGTAGCTGTTAAATCTAGAGTTGTAGTGCCATGCTAAAGACTTATAACACCCATAACAGTTAACTCTTTAGCCGTTGTCTGATTGAAACTATCTTCAATGAGAACGGGATGTCTCGAGATGTGAGGATGAGAATGTTTTGGCCAACTCATGCCAAAACATTGGAAGTTCTCTCTGTTCATTTGGGCTGTAAGCATTGACCACTCTTTTAGGTATAATAACCACTCTTGTCCTATTCCCCATAGTTATCATTGCTCCCTATAATGATCATTTTTGCACCATCTGTTTGAAGGCTCATTACTGGATATATTAAAAACCCACATAGTGCAACACACCATTAATCATGGTACTCCATTTATTGCTTGCCGGGTTATTTATACCTTCCAACAACCTGCTACTGTAGCAGTTGACTCTTGTCTAAGCTGTCATCTTTACCTTCAACCGCACCTCATGCCTGGCTATCTCCTTGATCCATCGTCTTCCGAGTTTCTGCCGCATTTCCTATAAGGTGAATATCTCCCGAAGCACTCATGATTATTATTTCTGACCTCTTTAGCATGTCATCATCAAAGGTTTGACTGATCCCAGGTGTTCTATACCTGGCATTTTAGGAAGCTCGCTGACAAATGAGAGATCTGTTAGCGAGCACCCACAGCAGCTGCATCATCCTTCCTGCTGTGAATGCATCACACCCGCTGGTCCCCTTTGTCTTGCCTTTACCCATTTCGTTCTGTTTTGTCTCCATTTATACAATCTTATAAATGACACCCCTTTAGGATTATCATGGACTTTATTGTTACAGTTTCCATTAATATCCTCAGCTTGACAAAATTGAACAGAGTTTTGTTTGACGAGCTTGTGTCTTGGCAATGGTGGTCATCTTAGATCAAATGGAATGCTTCTTTTGTTAGTTGTAGTTGATACCATAGATTTTCGATATTGCACTTCCTAGTTCCTCGATTTCACAAAATTGCTTGGTAGATTAGCTTGTAAAATGTACTGAACGCTCTTAGGTTTTTGCAGAACCGTGGCTATGAAGGCGCCTACAAACCATGGGCAACGGGCGATCCCAACAAAACGCTGCAAGACTGAGTTTGGGTTTCCCTTTTAAATCTTAAATGGCACATTAGGTTTTTGCTCAATTTGTAAAGCATCTAACATAGATCTAGGGAGTTGTACATAGATATTCTGAATTAGAGATTTCTGGTAACCCATCGTTGGTGCAAACTAGTTGAAACGATTTACATTCATCCTGAGACTTAAAGCATCTAACATATGTAGGGAGTTGTACATAGATATTCTGAATTAGAGATTTCTGGTAACCCATCGTTGGTGCAGACTAGTTGAAACAATTTACATTCATCCTGAGACTTAATCTTATGTATCTGAGTGACAACAGGACGAGGAGAAGCCCGCCGTGGAAGAGGAAGGAGCACAGCGACAGGCAAAGATAGAGCTGTTGATGGTTTATTTGTATGTGAAGGACCACAACCGTACGACATAAATATCCTATTGATCCATCACTCTCTTATCCAACCAATGCTTGCAACGCTGCGGTGCCTTCTGAGACTTCGATTGCTTCCGGTGCAGAACTGCGGTGTCTTTAGAGGGGCGAAAGGAAAGGACAGAGGCACAATGGGGAGCTTTTCGCAGTCGCATATCTCGATCATGTTATTATCAGGATCATGGAAGAAGAGCTGATCGACCCTAATTCCACCTTCCGTGACCACTGCGGTAACGTAGCTGATTCCCATCTGGTCGAGCCTCTGCTTCACTCTTCCCATGTCAGCACACTGCCATTTCAAGAAATCATCAGTCGAAGAAGCGTCAAACGCAATGGATGCAAACCCTGTAACCCTCACCTGGAACGATATGTGGTTGGCTTTAGGATTGATCTCCGATGGCTTCGATACTGCTTCCGGACTCTGCACCAAGTGGATGCCGATTCCGTAATTGTAGAACCTGCATCATCCATCAAACGCGAGTCAGTTGGTTTGCTTGCAGGGGGGGGGTTGCATACCGAGCTGTTGGTTTCTCACCATGCCCCTTGGAAATCGAAGGACGAGGGCCGTCGGATCAGCTGGAACCCAAGCACTTCCTCGTAGAATCTGACAGACTCGTGGAGGGATGAGCACAAGAAGGAGACGTGGTTGAGGGAGACGACCGGGAGAGGGGTGGGATCGCAATCCTTCTTCTCGAGGAGGCTCTTCATGCTTAAAACTCAGGTACTTGCTATACGAATCCATCAAGATCCAGTTCCATATTTATAGTTTCTCTAACCACGTCCCCTGCTAGTCAAATAATTTATCCCGTAGCTTATCTGGATCTGACATGCATGCTTCTTGGACAAGTATTTGAATGGTTTTCTTCACAAGGTAAAGCAATTGGATACTCGTTAACTCGAATCTAATTACCAAGTTTGGTTGGAAATACACGGCAGTAGGGCGCCGACTTCAAACAGGCAGCAAGCTTCGGTTACGGAACCGCGTTGTTGAAGCTTGTCATCTGTTGCTCGGTCATCGCCTAGTGGTTCCCTGTTCGGTTGATACGATTGATGAATCACCTTTGACTTCCAGCGGAAGGATCCTTCGGTCAATTGCCTTCTAGAAGTCCTGGGCTATATATATGTGCGTGTGTGTGTGGGGTGGGGGTATAATTAGTTCTCATAAAGGTTTCAAAAAATAACTGACATAATTTTAAGATGAGTGTAAATTGATCGACTTCCACTAAACAAATCTAAACTTTTATAGAATTATTAGAGTATGATTTAAAGATGATTAATTTATTTTTTTAAATATTTTTATGATAACTAATTATCAAAAATTAAGATTGAGTGTAAATTAGTTTAATTTCAAATATAAGTGTCAACTTTCAATCAAAGAATTTAAACTTTCACAAAAATACTATTACATAATTCTAAGATATTTTTTTTATCTTTGAAGGGTTTTATGATAATTAATTATCAAAATTAAATATTTTTTAATATGTTCTATAATTATAACTTTATTCAATTTCAAATATAACTTGGTCAACTTCTACTAAACTAATCTAAATTTTCATGACATTATTATGACATGATTCTAAGATGTTCGGTATCTATTTTTTTAAATATAATAATTAATTATCAAATTTTGAGGGGATAGTAGAAAATGAGGTGAAAATTAAGAAGGTAAAAATGAAGGAGGAGGAGAGTGAGGACGGGAAGTGGAAGAGCAGAAGGAGGCAGATGTGGAAGAGAAGAATGAGGAGGGGGGAGACGGAGGAAAGGCATTAGAGGAGGAGGTATAGGTAGAAGAGGAGGAGGAGGAGGTGTAGACAGAGGATGAGCATAAGATAGAGGAGATTGAGATGTGGTAAAGGAGACTAGGTGAGAAGATAGAAGAGGAAAGCTGGGTTAGGGGCTTAGAAATTTTGATTGGAGCCTAACTAGATCGGTTCAATAGGAAACAAAAAAACTTGGTTCTAAAGTTATTTAACATAAAAGGTGAGGACATTTTGTTAGAAAAAGAAAAAAACATTAATAATAAAATATTCATATGTTAAGTCTTAAATATTTAAGGGACAAACAACAATAATAATAAAATATTAAGTCTTAAATATTTAAGATTTTATATGGATCTTTTGTCGTTATTAAATCTAAAAAAAGTCATATGTTTAATAAATTTAAAATATTTAAAATTTTATTTATAATTTCTATTAAATATTTTTTAATATCTTTCTCTACTTGTTGTAGTATCACTAATATTAATTATTTCATCTCTTTTAGCAATTACATCTATAGGTCTCCTAAGTATATATCTATATCATCTTAAATAATTCACTCATTTTATCATCTATCGGAGTGATGATACTTGTTCACGAATAATTTTTTTCAATCTTTCTTAGTAATTCCAATAGTCTCATCTATACAATATAAATTTTTTTTGTATGTTATTCCTTAATTACCTAATATTCAAATCTATAAAGCATTGTTAGTCTCACAATTATCTTATAAAATTTTCTCTTGATATCAAAGATATTCGATGATCACAAAAAAATCTTGATGTCTTTTGCTATTTTAACTATCATGTTTTTACTTCATAAAAAATATCTTTGATCTTTCTATCTTATTGAATAATTAATTCTTGATATTTAAAGCTTTTACTTAAAGAAATAATTAATTCTTACTATTGAGAAATTAATTTTTGATATTTCTATTATGTCCATCCAACTTAATTATAATTTTTTTTGTCTATATCTAATATGACTAAAATTATATCTCATATATTCAGTTTTAATCATACTTAATATAAAACTTTTAGTTTCTAAAAAATAACTCAATATATATCGGGAACATCTATCTAATAAATAACTAATAAATTTATCCATTATCAATATAAAAATATAAAAAACTTAATGTATATATTTGATGTAATCTTATGCTAATAGAAAATTTACTAGACATATTTTCTATAATTTAAATATTAATATCTAAATTGCCATATATATTCTTAATAAACATCAATATTATTAGTGGATACATATTTATTTTCTAAAACTCATAATCTCTAGGAACTTTATTATAGGTTTTCTCTAAATCGATAAAGATCATATATAAATCTATCATTATATATATATATATGTTTATTAATTATCTTAATAATAAATAACTTTTATGATTGATCTATAAAATCAAATTGATTTTTAAAGATATTTATTTCAAATATTATCATACTTTTTAAAAGTTTCATAATATAATTCATGATCTTAGTTATAATTATATATGTCAATCGATCTAATTTTATAAATAAGTATATGATTATTAAATCTATAATTATTATCTATTATTACTATAAATTATTTATAAAAAAATAATCTGTCTTTCTTAATTTTATTTTCATTAACAAATATTCCTTAAATACATGTAAAAAAGCCAATAAAGAAGGCTTTTCCGGTAAATTGCTCTATCTTCTTTATACACTCGTCTGGCCACTGACGTTCTACCTTCACAGAGAAAGTGAGAGCCGATAGCCGATGTTCGTCGCCTCGTTCACTCGCAGCCCCATCCCCATCTGCTCCACCACCTCCTCTTCCTCTGTGGTTGCTGCAAGTCGCCTCTCTCGCCTCCGCGGCCGCCCTTGCGCCCATTCCCGCCCCCTTCTCGGCCCCGTCGACCGCTCGTCCAAGGCCTCCGCCCTCTCTGACAGCCTAAAAATTCTGGAATGGGACAAGCTCTGCGACGCTGTCGCTTCCTTCGCCGGCACGGCCCTCGGCCGAGATGCGACCAAGGTCTCCCTCATCCTCCTCTTCATCATCATCGTCATCATCTGCCGTTAATCTTTGTTTCTTGGTCCGCTTCCGGTTGTTGGATACGGGGTTTCTTTTCTTTGTTTCTTAGTTCTCCTTTGGTTCTTGGATGATTCTATGGTATCCTTGGTTCACCTTTCGTTCTTGGATGATTCTGTGGTATCGGTTGGCCTTCGGTTCTTGGATGATTCTTTGATGGGGTGCTGAGGTGCTTTTCTTTGTTGTTTTGTTCGCCGTTGGTTGTTGGATGATGCCGCGGTACCTGTTTCGCCCAACGGTTCTTGGAAGATTCGTCGGTAGACGCTGGGTACTTTTTTTGTGTTTTCTTTCGTCCTTGGTTATTGGATGATTCCATGATAGATAGGGTGCTGAGGCTCTTTACTTAGGTTCTTGGTTCACCTTGGGATCTGGATGATGTTTTGGTAGGCAGGCACAGCTTTCGTCCGTTGATGTATGCTTCGACGAAAGCAGGAGGCTCTTGGAGGAGACCGCCGCTGCTGTTGAGCTGATTAAATATGGAGCTGGGCTGGATTTCACCAGAGTAAATACAGTTTTGGTAAGAATCTCTTGTTGTTTAAGCATTAGGTGTTTCGGGAGTTTGGGATGAGTTTGTCTATCAATGATGACAAGGAAGTAGGCTTGCTGCATTTTTAACACACCCATTTATTTTCTCTTGGAATTAATAATTTAATATGTGCTCCCAGTTTGTCTAGGTAGTGAATAAAGACCATTATATCATGGAACTGAGAATCATACTTGAGGCTACTCTGCTTTGCCAATGCAAATTAATATTCCAACTGAAACATGTTCAAACTTTATAGTACTTCCAGTGAAAGAAAATTAACAGCATTTTTTTAGGATTGTAGCATTTAATGTATGCTTTAGAGTTCTGAATCTACTTTCTACAATTGAAAGAGAATAATTATTCTGTCAATAGTGTGTTTACTAACTTGTGTTTCTCTAATACTTTGTGGTTATCTTTCCATTGTCTTTGTTCCTTCGTATGTAAGTATTCATATTGAGATCAGAATAGGATCCATATTGCTCTTAAACTCGCTATGGCCACTGGAGCTTTGGGGCTTCTCATCTCTTTCTCAATCGTACCTTTCTATGGTGTTTTATCTTCCACGAGCAGTCTTATGTGCACTATTTTTTGAATTGATTGTTCTGGCCTTTTAAAGCAAATTTTGTCACAATCTAGTCTGCTAGGCCCACTTTAAAATTTAAATTGGCATAACAATCCATCAGTGTGTTCAACACAAGACTACATGCGATTCTGTAAACCTCCAAATTTGGACTTTAATGATAGCTTACTGTATATAAAAACAAACTCACAAAGCAAATGAAAATGCAAGCAAACTCACCATAGTTGTTCACTCAGATACCACTATGGTTATGTGTACTCGCATCCATGTTTGGAGCATTCAATTTTGTTAATTTTCAAAAAAAAAAAATCAAGGTCATATGGTATCTCATATGCCTATCGTTAGTGTATCCATTTTACTGATTAGCTGGATTAGTAGTTGTGGTAAATTAATTCTTGTTGTTGGATTGCTCTTGAAAGGTAAAATCAGCTATTACTCGTGTCTCTAGAGGTTCTCTATTAGATGGAGTTGAAGCAGTGGCTGTTGTTGGGCTTATACAGATAGCTGAGACTTTGCAAAATTCTTTAAAAGCAGCACTGAAAGAAGATGCAGAGTGGTACAACCGTTTTATGCCTCTTACCCAAATGGTAAACTGTAATCTATGAGTATTTTCCAGCAATATGGTTATTCTTGTGCTTTTGCCAAGCCCTTCATTGTAACACTATCTTCTGATTAACTTGTAGTTGTTGGATGCTGTTGTCAGCCGGTCATTTGTCAAGACTGCACAGCTAATGATAGACGAAGATGGCTCAGTTAAAGATAGTGCGGTCCGTTTACTAACACCGTTTGTTCTAATTTTTGCATTGTTTGTGTTTTGACTATTTAGAACATAGCAAATATGTTCCATTGTGTATTAACCTAATTACTAGTTTACATGTAGACATACAATATATTATTATATATCATAACTTTTTGTTTTTTATTTTAGGTATATGTGGTATCCATATAAATAAATCATCTTGACAATATGAGATTATTGATTTTTTTGTTTTTTTGGATATCTAGCTGAACTAAAGATGACAAGGTTAGGATTGAAAGTTATTGGAGTTTGGAGATATATAAATTCACTTTAGGATAGAGATAGAGCTGTTTGGAGAATTTTTTTTTGCTGTCTAGTTGAACTGCTTGAATCAGATAATTGGAAAATGGATAATGAATGTATTGTTGGGCTAGCATTCTTTCATAGTATTAAAAATTAACCATTATAAATGTTTGTTTTGAAAGCATGATTTCAGATAAGTTAGATGATGTATTATCACATTTTATATTAAAATAACTAATAGGTCATGAAGCATGTTTATAATTTTAATTACTTGCCTGATTCTCTTAAACCTGATGTAGTTGCACATGGCTGGAATCAAATTGAAAAGGATGCATAAGAAAAATTCAAGTTTAAGTTCTTTAAGTTATTTTTCACCTCATTAAGACATTCACAAGTTGGACTGTGGTACAAAAACTTGGGATCGAGCCTCTGACATGTTGTGCAAATAGGGTTATGGTGAGTGTAAAATGTGGACAAATACTTTACCAGTTGAATCATTTGGTTGTTGAATAGAAGATTGGATTGGGTATTCAATATTAAATCTTATTACTTGAGTACTCCTTCAACCCCTTGTTTGTGTTTTTTTTATTCTCTACAATTGTTGGTGAACATTCTTGCTCCAATATGTCAATTCAACTCGAGCAATACCATAATTAATTCAATTCTCAAGAAATTACAAACTTGTGTTTCTTCTTTCATCATCTTTGTCTTTCTCTTTACTATTGTATCTCTTTTCCTAGCATTAAATCCTTGTCTTTTCATATTGATAATGGATGAATTTAATAGTCATTTATAGAATTGACCCTCCCTAGTGTATATTATTTGTTGATGATATTGTCTTAGTTGATGTGAGTCTAAATGAAATTAATTATAAACTTGAGTTTGTGGAGATAATCCTTATAAACTAAAGATTTTAGATTATTAAAACTAAATATATAACATGCAATATTAGTAATACTAGAAATAGATCAATCAATTCAAAGTTTATGAGATGCAATCTTAGTAATAAATGGAGGTTATATTTAAGTTTGATGGGTAAAAGGTTCAAAAGCTTCAATACTTGGATCAATTATTCAACAAGACAGAGTGATTAATAAAGATATTATTTATAAAGTAAAAACATGATAGTTAAAACGAGGAGGGCGTGTCGGGAGTCTTGTCTAATCGTAAGATATTTTTGAAATTAAAAGAAAAAAATTATGACAATTGTCAAACCAGTAATGCTTTATGGATGTGAGTGCTAGATAGTGAAGAAACAACATATACAAAAAATTTGTGTTACTAAAATGAGAATATTAAGACGAGAATTTTGAGATGGATTTGGAGTTACTAGGAAAAATAAAAAAATAAATACAATTAAGTATCACTTTGATTAAATATAAAATGAGAGAGAATTATTTAACATGCTATGGATATGTGCTTAATAGACCCACATGAAATGATTACTGTTAGTGGTATGAGGAGAATTATAGTGAGGAAAACAGGGGAAGACCTAAAAGGTTCTTAATAGTAACTATAAATAAAATTTAAATAGTCTTAATTTAACTAAATATTTGACTTTTTAATGATCCATGTAGCTGCCTCAATTAGTTTGTACTTAAGTCTTTGATGTTGTTGTATCTCTTTTCTTAGCATTTTAGCTTTAATTGAACCCGTTCCACAGTATTGAAAAAATTTCCATTTTGCTTTTGATTCTATTCTTATCTCTTTATCTCCATCTCTTTTCTGCCTGTTCACCTAATGTTGCATTTGAGGATTCAATGGTAGAGCTGAAGATGGCCACTTAAGTTAGAGGAGCGGTACTTAGACATGGTGAATGAGGAGAAGGTAGTTGCATGTATCTTATTGGGGCATAGGCAACTGATAATAGATATCTCAGTCATGAACTAAGTAGTAGGCTAACTACTCAAAAGACAAATCCATTCATGTAAGGTAGCAGTCTCTACACTATAATATCTCACACTTTTGTTCCAATTTTGAGACAAATGGGTTTTTTTTTCTTTTTTTTTCCATTATCTTCTTTTGAAATCTTTAATTCGTAGTAGAATCTGTTAGTTCTCACTTTTCCCATATGTTTTTTTACATATATTGGATGTTCTATTGATCCGAGGTTGAACTGAGTGGTAGAAAAAATAGGCTCAAGCTTATTCGTCTCCCCTAACATAAACTATAATTCAACATAAGATGGCACAAGTGAAGGTGTAACATGAGGATTTTGTTAATGAAAATCTGGGCTGCGCCTCTGAGGTAGCAATTGCTTCTGGATTAGAAGTATTAAATTGGTAGAGTTTTTCACTTGCCAAACATTATTAAGCTGTTAAGTGTTCAAATAAAAGAAAATAATTTAATTTAGATAAATTGGGACCTGAATTACTCTGGTGGAGGTGTGGATTACAATAGTACCATCATCTACGTTTCTAACCTAGACAATCTAGTTAGTTTGCTAGGTTAGAATTTAAATAACAAAGAGGGCTGAAGTTAGTAAGCTAGCTTAGATTACACATGGAGATGGACATCTCTCTGGTTTATTGGAGTTACTTATACTTTTATAGAGCTCAATAGAATGCAAAAGATCCATATAACAGATCCCAAGTAATTGGAACATCACAGCTAGCTGTTGTTGTTGTTGTTGTTGTTGTTGCTACTACTGTTCTCATATCATTAATGATAAGAACAATGCATTTTGAGGTGTAAAGGGGCTGAGAAGAAATGTTGTTGTTTTGAATAAGGATTTCCATTCGTAACCTTGCTTATAATTAGCTTTGCTGCTCATTTTCAATTAAATCCAATGCAAAAGATATGACAATCTCTTATTCTATTAACCTCCTTACTTACGGTTTTTGAATCATTTGCTACATGTACAATCTAGTTTTCTGCAATCTTGTGGCCACCATAGCTCTATTGCTTGTTGCTAATTTTGATTTTCTTTATTATTAACAACTGCATAGCCTTTGCATTTGCTAACTTTTAATGAATATTATGTTATTGTTGTTCTTTTAGAGTTCGGAGCTTAGAAGGTCCCGTGATCAAGTTCGGGTCCTTGAACAAAAGGTACAACATTCTATATTTCTTTAGGAAGAACTTCACATCATGATTATTTGATCTGTTCAGATTGTCCTATACTTGTTGTGTTTTAATGAGTATGTATCTTCCAAAACCAATGTCCTTATGTGTCCTGCATTTAACAACAAATTTCACTTCGAAGTTCTCGTTCCCAAGTGTTACAGTTTGTCATGGAATCTTTTTGTCATGTGCATGCAAGTTTCAAAAAACGCTTCAATCTATTGTTAGAATCAAGGTTCGTAATACCGTACCATACCGGTATTTTGATCTGGGCTCGGTACCGGTACGGTACGGTGTACCGAGCGGTATACCTAGGTGCACCGGGCACAGTGCATTGCTACAGTGCACTGATGCACTGTACTGTTGCTGTAACAGTGCACTGAAACAGTAACTGTACTGGTGCAGTGCTACAGTGTATTGTACTGCTACAATGCACTGCTACAGTGATGCAGTCGGACCGGTACGTACCGCCCATACCGGGCGGTACGATTCGGTATGGCAGACCTTGATTAGAACCGTAAGCATCATAAACTCAAATCCGCCCTCTTATCTTTTCTTTGATTAGGGCTCGAACATTTTTCGCTACCTTCTGCTGGAGTATAGGACGGGATGGGGCAACAAAATATCCAATCTAATGCTTATTCTATCACTTATGTTTTAGAATTTGCTTTCTGCCTAATGTTCTCTTGGCGACACCTCACCCATCTATGTTTTTGGCACATGCACATTAGACTTCTATTTCAATTTAATTTTGTGTTGTTTTATTACATCGTTTTATCTCATCTTGGTAAAGTTTGTATTATTAGTTCAACTTTTTGATTACAAAAGCTCATTGGTGGACTCTTTGCCGATCTTGGTTGAAAAAATTGTGTTACTACCTGAACATCACATTTATGCTTACTAGGTCTGTAACTTATTGGAGCTTGATCATGCATCGCCTTGTTGAAGTTTGGCTTAAAATTAATTGAGCCCCAGGTTTTGGTCAACCTTTACCCATTGCACAATTTGTCGAGTCTAAATGAGCCTTAGGCAAGAGCCTAAGTCAAGTCTATATTTGGTGGCCTGATAGATGATAACCTTTAGTTTACCAAAGGTTAATTCAAGCTAAAGCTGAGGTTTTCTGTAGGCTCAACTTGGAATTACTCTTGGGCTTGGTTTTACAAAATAATCAAAATCCATCCCAAACTAAATCAAGCCATGAACTAAGACAATCTTGAGCTACTTGTGAGCAGCTTGGTTCTGAGCAGGAAACATTAAGCTATTCTTCCTTGTAATGGTCTTTTAGGATCTTGCTCATTTTCTTTTGCCCTCTTTGGAATCAGATTTTGATTTCTTTTTCTTTTACTATTTGTGTGCTTGGAGGTCTTTTTGTTATTTTCAACCTTGGGTTCATGCTTCCGATTTCACGTCCTATCTGAAGCAAAATGAACTTCTGAAATTTTTTTAAGCTGTTTGTTTGATGACTAAGCAACACAACATAAATATTACATGGATTTAATTTAGTTCATTGGAATCTGTTTTCTTAGCTTTGCCATTTTTGTGGGCAATCAATACCTTCTATTTAGATTGACGAAATGATTTGTACAATCTCTTTTTAATGGATTATATATCATGTTGATGGTGTCCTATAATCTATTACACCCTTTGCATAATTGGTACCAACCATTAAGTACCAAACCACTTAAGCAGTGGATAGCTCACAAAATGACAATCTTTGGTTTTGACTACTAAATTTTAGCGTTTTAAATTACAAGATGCAAACATAAAATTTTTTGGCCTAGTTTGTTCTAGTTAAAGCTATGATTTTGGTAACATAGCTTTGTCAATTACTGATACATGTAAGGTTTGAAAGGCCATACCAAGTTAACACAGGTCATTTGTCACTCTAGCTTCTCAATTTGGCCTTTTCTTTTTTTTAGTTGGCGTGCAGCATGCCTGCCATGCCAAGCCATATTGTGGTCAGTAACATACCAAATTTTCTGCCCTTTCCATTTCTTCCCTCCTCTTCTTTCTTTCGGCTGAGTTGTGTCACACAAGGTGTACAGTACATTGAAAAATATTGGTAAAAGTTCAAATAATTAATCACATAAACAAGAATTAACAATGTATTACCAGAATTGACAAATGGGAGAACAACATGCTCCCTTGCATATTTACTCTGTTTTCTATTTTACTGTACATTATTAAATTGGCTGTTTCTTTCAGTAAATTTATGCTTCAGCAGTATACTGCAGATACGTATATTAGTTGCTTTGTGGTTTTTCTTTAGATTTTTCTCTGCCAAATTGGACTCTTTCTGAATTCTGAGCACTTTATAACCTCTATGTACCAGTGAGACATGTTGTCAATGTGTTAAATGTTCCTGGGCTGTAGCATGCAATGACTTTCCACATCATAGAGTTAAATGTGAGAATTTGCAGATTGCCACCAAATTAATCTTAATGTCACTATTTCTTTTGTTAATAATCATTTTTATTTCAGCAGTATTATGCCCTTGATGAGTATTCATGCTACCTTATTAGGTTTATCTATTCTTTCCACCTCTTCATTCTGTTCTATTTTGTTGTACTTCAAACATAAAATCTTTTCTTCAAGAGCATCTATTAATTTCATCTGTTATTAAGTCTGCATACGACATATTGCTCAGTGATCTTTCCTCTTACTCTTTCTTAAGAATTCATTCTCTTTTTTGCTTCTAGATTAAACATAAAGATTAGACACATATTATTTCAGGTTATAATTCTGGACTTTGACATCTAAGAATGAAAATGATACTCTTGTGGCTAGTTGTCATGATGTTATTCCAGAAAAGCTATCATGTTTGGGATGCGAAATGGCTTTCGAGTGGCTGAAAATAATAATTTTGTCTTGGGTGAAATCCTGATTGTTTGGGATAGATTGTGCACTTTCTAAGCATGAAAAATTTTATAAAGAAGACGTGTGACATTATGCTTGACCTGTGGATATAAGTGGGTAGCTTGGTAGTAACAAAATGAGAATTACTTGAATCTTCAGAATAAATTATGGTAAACATTATTCGGTGAAGCTCAATAAAATAGAGAAATGACTAAGAGGTAATAATTTTATGTTTGAGGAGGTGCCTAATCTACCAAGCTGCTTCATTTAGTGTTACCGTCAACCAAGCTCCCGTAACTGTGTCACTAATGTGGTAATGTTGCTAAAAGTGTGAATGATGTTGTTGTAGCCTTGTAGGTACATTTTCTAAATTTTATAAATTTAGTTTGTAGGTGAGCTCTACTGATGTTGTTATTTCTAATTGTGTTGCAGTTATACCAGCTTATGGACAAGTTACTTGGACAGGAAAAGAATGAAACTTCCACTTTGGTAAGGCTAGAGTTTGACATCTCATCTGTTGAAACTTAATTTGACGAAGCAATGGGCACTTATTTTATTGGCTTCAGGAGATGTGTATTGTTAATGGGAGGTGCTGCATCAAGGTAATGACTGATAGATCAACAATATTTGATGGGCTGCTATTGTCCAGGTGTGTGGATGGTACACATACTTTATGTTGTTAAGTGTTGTATGCTTGTTTGAAATATTATGAGAATTTTACATGTTAGACCTTAAATTTATCTAAATTGGTGTACATCTTTTGTAACCGCATGTCATTTTATCCATGTTAAGATAACTAGAATTTTCTATGAGTATTTTGTTTTAATTGTTAACCCACTGGAATTAATTTGGTTATATAATTTTTTTCCAGGATTTTAGTTGTTCTTCTCAGTTTTTTTCTAGCAGTGACGGATTAGCCAGAACCATCCAATTCTATTCTAATTTCACTGTGTTGATCCATGCTGAGGTGCATCTGGTAAGCTTGAACACTGGGATATGGATTGTGGGCCCGAACAAATTGTACTCAGTAACATATCATTCGATATGTTGTTATAAATTGGATTCTCTGAGAAAAAGGACTATACCATACATTAATAAACACTAAATGATGATCAAATTTCCATCCCTTGCTTTATGAAGGCCTTGATGGATGGAAAAATCATGAGGAATATTTTAAAGACCCTAGTAGTGTTCATAAACAAGAAACAAATATTTTAAAGAAATATTAAAGATTGATAGCTATCCATAGCAAGGATTGCTATCTCGTACCAACCATGTGTACCAGTCCATAGTTGGACCGGACCAATCGCTACATGCTAGTCGATATTGGTGTACCAGCACATATACACCAGTCTGTACCTGAATTTCAAGAAAATAGCTGAAGGATCAACCAAAATTGAAAAACTCATTTTGAGTTTTTCTCCTATTTTATTGGTATATAAATTCAAATTAAATAAAAAATAAAGTATATATGAGCTATAAATTAATAGAAATTCCAAGCTATAAGGATCAATAATAGAAATTCTTATCTTTTCGGATTCACCGGTGGAGAATTCTATGGCACAGTCCTCTGTTGAATAAGGTTGTTTCCATGGATTGAAGTGTCCCCTCACCTCTTAAATCATGCAAGAAGTCGAAACATGGTCAATCTAAACTCTTTATGCTAAAATACCTCTGATTATGACTTAACTAGTAATTAATCCGTAAATGATTTACCTATAATCATTAGGCTAATTACATGAAATCATGAAAAAACATGTATACATTAGGTGAATAATTTCCTTTTGAACACAACTTCTACCCAATGTTGGATGCCAAGCATCTTTGATCTAAATCAACCTCCACTAATCGCAATTTGAAATCAAAAGAGTCTAAGAAGTGAGATTGAAACTGATAAAGAGAGAAATGAGAGTGACTGAGTGAGAGAGGGGGAGAGGAAGCAACCAAAAGGGGGTTAACCCCTAAAAGTGGACCAATGATTAAATTTGGGTCAAACTTGACCGATGGCAGATGGAGCCGGTGGAAATTGGACAGTTACCGACGGGTGCCCGTCAAAATTGAACCCCTCACCTTCTTCGACTTGCCTTCTGCTTCAATGAGATTTGTCATTGGAAACTCAAGGTGGTGGCATAATGTGCAATAACTTCAAAGCCCTAGTTGGGACCACAATATTGGATATAATAGTTTTAATTAGGTTATGTTCTGCATCAGCTCTAAATGATTTTTATGCTGATAGGTATGATTGAGCCCAGTATGAAGTGAAATGCTTCAAGAACTATGAAACCAAGCTGGTTTGACCATTGAAACAACTACCTAGTTTGGTACTGAGGACCACTTCTTTAGGGGTTGGCAACGTGCATGGTGTATCTGGATAATAAATCCTTTTTTTCAGCTTTCAATTTTTTCATTGAACACTGATCTCAAATTAGTATCATATTTTTTATGAATTTTTTTTGTAGTTATAGTTTATAATTTTCTTTATTTTATAATAATTTGCTTATTTGTCTGTGCAAGTAACATGATATTTTTGTTTGTGTATGTTTCTGGTTTCTTCTTTGTTGTATATTATGCACTTTAGTGGTTCAAGGGCTGGAAGTATACTAGAGCCAATTGCTGCTGTGCCACTGAATGATGAGTTGCAACGAGCTAGAGCTTTAGTGATTAAGGCTGAGGAAGAGGTGCTATCAAAATTAGCTGATAAGGTTTGAAGCAGCTGACTGAATGGTTCTATTTTTTCAAGTTACTTAAATTGATTGGTGCTTCTCTTGCTTTCTGCAGATGCTAGCAGAAATTGATGACATCCAGAATTTGCTGCAAATAATAATAAGGCTGGATGTTGTAGGTTTCATGAAACTTTTCTCCATCTCTCCTGTTGAATTCTAGTAAAAATGTAGCAAGTCTTATATTCTTGATCCTAGTACTACTACAATGCGTTTGCATATTTAAAATTTAAATGCATAAGATATGACATGCACTTCTTTGCATCATTGATTGACAATTTTGCAACCTGCTAAATTTTGGTAATAAAACATGGCAATACAAATTTTTTGTTTCATAGTTTCAAGGGTAATATTCTCGCTGATAACATCACTATAGATCAATGTTGTCAATTTTATGTATGCTCGGATCAGGTGTACCATGTGCAGATATGCTGGTATATATCAAGTTTCGGAAAAATCATCAGACAAGGCTGAAGAAATAAATAAGAACTGCTACCACACTGTACCAAGAAGTATAGGTCTTGTATCGGACAGTACAGACCCTGTACCATGTGCTGATATGGGTACACTGTTCGACAAATATTGCCCATGCTATACCTATTGATATTGCAAACCTTGATATAGGTGCATCTTAAATATGTCTTATTGAGCAACATAGATCCTGTGTCAGAGAGACCTGTGGTAAGCATGCCATCTGGTTTGCCCTAGTCCATGTCCATGTATCGGTATACTGTCGGACTGATAAATATCGCCCATACCGTACTGGATGATATTGCAAACCTTGATATAGATGCATCTTAAAGATGTCTTACTTTATTTATTGGCATGTTTTTTGTCCATAGTTCTTGTTTGATTATCAAGGGAAGTCCTTTTTGGTGATTTATATAGCACATAGATCTCTTTAGGATTTTTTTCTTCATTTACTGTTGCTTATATTACAGTACTGAAGTTCTTATGTTCCATTATAGATGTATTATTACATATCGTCTGTGTCATTTTCCAGTATTTTAGTGCAGTAAATGATTGGCACTGCCGAAAGAAAAGTCCCTAGTTCTCATTAATGACAATGATTGAAAAGAGCATGTATGTGTTGATGACAAATACGGCTACAGTTTACACTTGGGAGGACATCGTGGTTTGAGCGGCGTACTGGTGTTTAACATGTGTCGGACACGGATTCGTCATCGACACGGCAGGACATGTATCCTTTTAATTTTTTATTTCATTGGATATGGTGTTCGTGTCTTGGACTCCGTTCTTGTGTGCGAAGGAAATCGTCTTCCTCACCAATGAAATCTTTGCCCTCACCTCACTTGTGGAAGAGGTAGGTTTTGTCCCTAACTTGAGCACTCGTCGACCACCTCTACTTCGACTCTCGAGCAAATTGGAGGTTTCAACCCTCTTCCTTAGCAGCCCACTTATGAATGGCTTGCGGCCATTGTCACGTTGCATGCTCTCGGGCCCTCCACCTTGAGCGCACCTCTATCGTCGCATGACGTCGGAACCTTCGCCCTGAGCGCCCCACCTGCAAGCAACTCGACGATCATCGCGTGCTCTCGAGCCCTCCGCCTTGGAGCATCCCTTTGTCTTTCGCTCGCTGTTGTCGGGCCCTTTGCCCCAAGCACCCCACCAGCGAGCGACCCACTGGTCGTCACATGCCTTTGGGCGTTCGACAACCTCACCAATGTTCGACAAAGCATCTTCCTTAGCCGTGTTGTGTCACAAGGTATACTGACTTTGTTTAGCGTTTTTTACTACTAAAAACACCTATATTTGATTATTATTGTTTTATTTTTAGTTTTGATTAAATTGTTAACATATTATTAACCCATTTTATTATTTTTAATTATTTTATTTTTTTAATCTGGGTTTTTTTTCTTTTGATTAAACCATTAATATATTATTAACCTTTTTTATTTTTTTAAATATGTTTTTTTTACTTTTTTTGTTAAATTGTTATAATAATTTGAATAAAATATCAAGATTATTTTTCTTTATATATATATATATATATATATATATATATATATATATATATACACACACACACACATGTCCTTGCCGTGTCTGTGTCCTAATTTTTTAAACAATGACGTATTGTTGTGTACGTGATGTGTCATTTCTCGTGTCTATATCTGTGTTTCTTACGATCATACCTCATTTCTTTATCATTCTATCATTGTCATTTCTTATGGGCATCAGGCATAAACAATGATAATTCACTTTATTCTTTCCTTAGTTGTCATTAAGTAATAATACACATACATGACAATCTCAAGTGATCTCATAATCTTTGCTCGGCATTTTTGAAAGGTGTTATCCAGTTTTTGTCAAAAAAAGAAATTATCCATTTTTGAATGCCTAATATTAATAATCTTAGTTTCTGATTGGAATAGATCACTGCCAGAGCAAAGTACAGTTTAGCATATGATGGAACCTTTCCCGATATATATATGCCAAATCATATAGGTGGAGAACCTTCTGACAGTTTGTCTCAAGGCGCAACCACTAGCAGTGCCTCATCTCATCCCTCTAGAAGGAATTGGAAACTGTATATGCCCAAGTCTTATCATCCTCTGTTACTTAAGCGGCATCTTGAGGACTTACACAACGCCAAAAAAGATGTTGTTGATGCTACTGCTGTGAGTTCAATTCCAAAATATCACCTTTGGTTATTTAATTGCAATTGGCTCCTTAATATCTAGAGAATCCTGGAATCATACCTGGTGTTGACCTGGTCTTTTTTGCAACATCCAATACGTCAACATCCAGCTATGTTTATAACATTCCTTGTTAGTTATTCTTGATTCAATCCACTTGAATGTTTTTCATAACTGATTATAGTTCAATATTTTTTTAATATGTAGGAAATTAGAAGGAATTTACTGGGGAAGCATATTGAAGGAAATGATGGAGATGCACGTCTTGCATCCATGAAACTCAGAGTAAATTTTAAGATATAAGATCTAATAACATCAAATTTTGTCCAATTTTGTTTGAGAACTTACATGATTCTTGACATATTTTATGAATTTTTTTTTGATATTAGGTTTCTGAATTGGAAAAGAACTATCCTGTACCTGTTGACTTGATGATTACAGAAAATACTAATGTGCTGGTTATAACTGGTCCAAATACAGGGGGTAAAACCATTAGCTTGAAGACGGTTGGTCTAGCATCATTGATGACCAAAACAGGTTTATACATCGTAATGTTATATTATATTATATTTTCTTGCCAATTGTTTTTGTTGTCAGCAGGCATTGTGTTTGTTCAAATGAAATTTAATATCTTAGATAACCAACATCCAATGTATTTCAATTTATTTACATAACGTTTAATTTGTTTGCATTCATTTCATCACTTGATCATGTTTTTCCCATATATGGTATTATTTCATTCAATTCCAGCTTGCTTATGATTTTTAGATTTTCAAAGTTCTGTATATTGAATTAGATATTCTGCAGCTGCATCCATTTGTAGTTTTCCCAAGTTGAGGGAATCAGTGTGGTTGATCCTCTGCTTAAAACTTTGCTCTGACTTGTAATTTTATCAACTATGACTTAACTATGCTCTGAATAAACTACTTGTCATTCTCCTCTTGTACTCTGTCCAACTTTTGGTAATTATTTGCCGAAGTCACTCTCTTTCTCAACTTTGCATCTACTAAGACATGAGCACCAGTTAAAGGATGACTTCTGACATCAATTTGACTGTCATGTTAAATTCTGTTTAGCTCATTACATAGTCTCACATGGAGAGCCTATCTATAGCTAAACCCACAATGGTGGTAAAAAGTTTAGTCATGTGACACCCTACTCCTAATTCCATTCATAGTATATATGCATGATTAGAATAGGATGTCATCATGAAATTTACTTATGCTATCAGCAATAATATAGTAGGATTATGGGCCAATTTGAAACATGTTAATTTGCCAAACAAAATAACATGGTCTCTCTTATACACAATGGTGTTTGATAGTTGTACATATGCTATAACTAGTGTTTTTAATAGATGCCTGGGCGCTTGGGTGAGGCAAGGCCCGAGCGCCTCGCATGACCTCCAGGTGATGCGATTCACTAAAGTGCCCCTTGGGCGCTCGTTTGAGCCCAGGCGCTGAGCGCCTCGGTCGAGCGCCCGAGTGAAAGTGGCATAGCACAAGAGATCGGAAGAGAAAGGACAAGAGATTGGAAGAGAAAGGGGTCTAGGTGAGACAGAGGGCATTGACCTGAAGGTGAATATAACGAAATCGATTAGTGCTCAGCGGCAGAGAATCAATCAATGCTCGATGGTGGATGGGAGGGTAGAAGGCACAACGGATGGGAGGGCAGAAATGATCTTGCTGGAAGACGAAAAGATAGGGTTTTGAGGGCAGTAGATGGGAGGGCAAAAGACGCGATGCATGATGGACGAACTTGGATATAAACGCATTAAGTAGCGCACTAAGTAGCAATGAGTAGCGTAATAAGTAGCACACTACAGGGTTCTCAATTTCGATGTGTACCGCTTGGTATGAGCGGTACGTACTGGTTTGAGAGGATGTCAGTATGCGGACCGTCCCCTACCGAGCGGTACCAATGCTTTGATCGGTATTGAGGCATAGCGATCAATACCTCCTCGGATTTCAATCTTTACCAAGGCGTTTCGGTCGGTACGCCCTGGCATGTTAGGTGGAGGTATTTTTAAGGTTTTAGGGTGTATCGTCGATATGTTCTACCATACCGACGATACACCCTAGCATACCGACGGTACATATCGGTATGTACCGTACCGAGCAGAGCTTGGTATGTCAATATGGATCAGTATTCAAAACTCTGGCTCACTAAGTATTAAATCACAATAAATAGCGCTCTTGGTTCCAATTTTGTTGCATCAAGATAATAATTGACTCATTCATTTCTGGATTTGGGTCAGGAATCACCCTATTGAATAAGATTGTGCTCAAATTACGAGTCAACTTCCACATTGAATGTCATCACCTATACATGCATGCAATACGTTTGTATTGTAATTCATATATCTTATTATGCAATTTATACATTAACATCATGTTTATAGTTAACTCATGACATTCATCTTATTTAAAAGATAATTTCTAAAATATATGACCACTATTTTATAATAAATTAAGCTTATACTTACTATAGTTTTAGCATAACTAATATAAAATAAGTAAGAATAGTGCCACATATCTTTTTCTATCTTTAAGGAGTGGCCTTATGCAAGGTTCACAATTTCGGTCCAATCCAGATCGTCCTTCCATTAATATTGAATTATCTACTGAAAAATTATTTGAATTGTTAGATTGTTTTGTATACAACTTAAACTTTAATATTCAAATGAATTAAATAATCACATGTGCAAATATATCTAATTCTACTACTAAAACGAACGACGGGCCTCCACGGGTGGTGAATCGGGGTCCTCGATCCTATATATCTTTATATCAATATGATATATTTGTTGGACCAAATCCTGAAATTGATCTCACGATATTGAGACACCGTATGCCATTTGTGAATCAATGTGGTGATGGTTATAGGTTGATCATCGTGAATCACATATGTCCGTGGCGGCGCCTGATACATGTATTGATGAATGTCAGGACTTTTACTTTCATTACTGATCTACTACGTATCATACCTTTTGATTAAAAAGTTCTTCCTCTTAATCCTCCCAAATTAGTCTCCTAAATTTGATCTAATCCATAAATTGTTGCTCAGTTGAGTTTAGGAGCGTGAAAATGTGAGAATAAGAGAGAGATTGTGAGTAAAAATGAGTTTAAGAGGGTTTAAGAGAGTGTGAGAATGAAATAGATTGAAAGAGAGGGAAGGAAAGAATTTAAAAACCCTTTAGAATGCTTTCAATGTTCAAATTGATCGTTTGAAAATCGATATAAATCGATAACGATCAAAATCGATCGGTATTGGTCGGTAATTGTTGAAATTTCGATCGGTACTGCCTGGTACACTCGATACGGGGCCAAATACCTATCGCTCGATAGTGGGTGGTTTGCGTGCCAGTCTGCTTATGGATCGTTATGTATCGCCCGTACCAAACGGTACGGTATTCAAATCCTTGTTTATAACTCTTAATATAAATAGTAATTTGTAGTAAAATTTGGTAGAATTTATTTTGAATTGGGCTATACCAAAGCTGTAAATTCACCTAAAATCTACTATCAATTTGCCAATAATTCAACTTATAATCAAACGACCTAGTTGCTACCAATTAAAGAACTACACAATTCTATGAAGAATTCTTGCTTCACTACTATACTGATTAAACCATCTTAGAGTATCATAAAATTTTACAGGAACTCAGGAGACATAAAACTAAATATACACAAAATTTTAGCTCAAAACAAAATCGTTTGGAGGTTAAACTACCCTCCCAATTCAACCATCATCACCTATTTTGTTTTGTTGAAACTGGATTGAGGCTACTAAACTTATAAAATTTTTATCTTGGCGTAAAAAGATGATATTCACTTACTTTCAAAGCCTACAGAACCTTAAGAGATCCTTTTAAGACATGATTAAAACAGGGGCTAATTGTATCACTGTGGGTGTCAAATCAGCTTGAACAAAACCCTTTCATGAAAACAGGGGATATTGAGTTCTTCGGCTTGGAAAACACATAACTCTATGTATTGATCTTATATTAAAGCAATCTTAGAAGCCTTAGAATCATAACAGATTCATACAAAACATATCCAAAAATTAGAGATTAAATTGAATTCTAGGATACTCAAAAGTAACCAAAAATATCAGTCTAAAGCTACTAACTAAAACCCTAGGTCATATCTAGGAAATAGAGAGGTGGTGGTTTTTGAGCTGCTTAAGGGGCCGCCGAGAGGTCTTAGGTTCAATCCCATTAGGCCTCATCTCAATTTTTATTTTCTTTTTTTCTTAATAGAATCTTAGGGTTGATATAACTTAATATAAGCCTAATTTGGATTGACAAAAATAAAGAGTTTCTGTCTAATTTGATCTTTGAATCTTACTTATGTTTCTTAACATTTTTAGTGTAGTATTCCTTTTTGATTTTTCATCTCCACTTATTTATCCATTACTCTAACTATAAATAAATCAATTTGTTATCCTCTACATATATGATGTTTAAACTTCAAACTCATTAACTTTAAACATAATCAAATTCATTCAGGTCTTGAGAATCACTTAAGGCCTATTACAATGTGAAAGTCTCGTCTAATCACTATATACATGTTTATTGCCATGGCTTAGCCTTATACTTAAGTCTACTAGCACATTTAGGCTTATTGTACTGGAGGACCAAACCTTTTCACTACAAAATATACTTAAAAATCAGGCATTGATGTTCATATATACATTAAACCAGGGTTTTGAATACCGATTTGCATCGGCGTATTGAGCTATGCTTGGTATGGTACGTACTGGTATGTACCGTTGGTACGCCAGAATGGGTCAACTAATATCCTATCGGAAGGTTTGTCTCAAGAGGTCAAAGGGACCAAGATTTTGGCTCCTTCGGTTCCTTATCGGGCTCAGTAAATTGTAGTCTTAGACACATGTTGTAGTGCACATATACAAGCTTCTCCAACCATTTATATGACAACTAGTTGCGGACTTTAGTGTGAATCAAAGCAAATGTTGACCAATTATGTTCACTTCCACTCGATGTCATCGTTTGTGAAGCTACATGCACCACAACCTTTTTTAGATTAGGCAGGATCTTGCAAATCATATTGGAATGAATTGATTGGTTAGATAAGGAAAACCATGCACCAAACCTTTAACCAGTTCAGTTCACTAATAAGATCATTTTTAATTTTAAAAGACCAAAGTACCCATAGTAATGCTTTAAATAAGTTTTTGCCCCCCGAATTATCACATTCAGGAGGTGTGACCCTGTCGTAAATCAATAATATTAAAATTTCATTAACAATCCAACCTAGGATCCAAACTAACATTTGAGGACATTGAGAAACATTCAAGTATCATTTACATCCATAAAATCTGTGCAGTTTATAATCATATACCACATCACTAAAACTTTTATGAAAACCCAAGCCAATTAACAAAACATTAATCACACTTATAAATCCACAAGTGTAAGAATTTGTACAATCAGAACTCCAACCATTTATCGCAAGTTCATATCATCGTAAACTAAATTTAACATTCCAAAATTCTAAACGTGAGAGGTCTTT